ATTTGATTCAGATGTATTTGAGTCATTTTCTAACGAAACTGTATTTTTTAAGGCAATTTTACTTACATTTTGTTTACATGGTAATGTTAGACTCCAACAAAATCCATTCCAAAAGATAAGGGGATTAGGCGGGAAATCGAGTCAGTTGCATCAATTGAGATACAACACAATTATATGACATTTATGCTATGAAAAATGCTAATTTGTGATTTTATACTTCACCTAACTAATTATATTATAATTAGATTCATGCTAAAGAGATTGCACAAGTCAGTAGGAGTAAGGCGCCTGAAATTAGTAATATTTCCACACAAAAAAAGAATGTTGCTAAGAAGACCGTGGCTAGCAAAAAAACTATTGCTCAGTATTAGTCGTGCCTTCGGACATATTTAGGAATAACAGATATTCTGGATGGTGGTACCTGCCTTATACCTATGAGTGCAGACATCTTTGGTTTTGAATACCTGGAAGTAATTGGTAGAGAGGATATGGAGCAAGTTTTTAGACATTTGGAATTAGGCATCAGTGTTATCAGTACATACATCAGGTATACTCCGACCAACTTTGTTTAATTAGATGAACAATTTATTTCCTCATTTCAATGAATATATTATAATGTTAATGATGTTTTAATTTAAGGTTTCTGTATGACAACGTTGTACGCCCGCGTGGATTAGAAGCAAGATTTGGCTTCTTAGCTCCTAACACTGTCAATTCAGGGTTAATCGTAATAAGACCAGATGATGTCATAGCATATGTACTCGGTTTATTCGTGACCAGCAAAGATACTGAAAAGTTGTTCTTTTTACCCTATAATACTGGCAACGGGTTAGATTTTCATCCTAACTTGATATATTATAATTTTCCATTTTTGGCCATGTTTAATCTTTGTTTAATCTTATAGTAGACACTGGTTATCGGTTGCGATTAATCCTGTAAGAGATACTGTGTATTATCTGGATTTATTATACAATAATTGGTCAACATATCCAGATTTAAAGAAGATGATTGACACGTAAGTTTTTTGCTCCCAAAGATATATATCTGGATTTGTGTTTATGTTTATGTTTCTATGTGAGATTGTTCTAAACAGTCGTTTATATTATAGCATTCTACTAACTTTTCACTCCCAAAGAGATATTCAAGTGCCAACAAGTAGAGCCAACAACGTTACATGGATCAGAGTGGAGGTATATTTTCACAAAGAGATATTTTGTTTTGATTACATTAGTGATGATACTTGATAAAACAATTTAAGGGGTATATCCTGATATATATATTCGTATTTTCTTTTCATGTGTAGTGTCCCCGCCAGCGTAACGATATAGGTTGTGGCTATTTCATGTCGAGGTTTATGAAAGAAACTATTCTTTTGGATCGATTAGAGATTCTATCCACAATATGGATTTCTAACTTAAGAATTACATACTATTTTCAAATTTTGTGTTTCTCATAAAATGACATATTGTTTTAACTAAATCACATATTATGTTATATTATTATATATGTAGTACTTTGAGGAATTCAATTGTGCACATTACTCAAAAAATTAATTGGATGAACTTAAGGAGGAATGATGTCAATTCATTATCGGGTTGAGAAATTTATAAGCTAAAGTATATTGTCTTATTTCCTTTGATGAGAACTTTCGAGTTTTGAGTATAAATTAAATTTGAATAAAGTGCAACATTAATATTATCATGTTATGAATTTTGATCATTTGATTTTTTTTCCAGGTTTATAGGTGCATGTCTAGAAGATAGAGCTAAGATATTCATGTCGTTGTTGTTTTATGAGAATTCTCGAAGATAGTAAGATGTAGATGTAACATCAATTTTGAAATTTAGGATTTTGAACTTGTAGAATTTTAACTTGTATCATAAATTTTGTAATTGTTGTTGTATATATCATCAATTTATATATATGTGAAATTTTTACATATGCATATTTTATTGGAATGAAGCTACCAAATATGGTGCATAATGTGGTGAAAACCTGGTTCAAATATGGTTAAAATCTGATTAAAATGCATTATATATATTGGACAACGCTTTTATAAGTCAAAATAGATATTTTATTTTAAAAAAATCGTGATCAATAGACAACGCTTTAAGAGAAAAGTGCTGTAAAAAGTATAAAAAAAAGCGCTGTCTAAAATGGAAAAGTGCTGTCTAATAAAGTGGGGGAATAGACAACGCTTTTAAAGAAAAGCGCTGTCTAAAACCTAATTTAAAAAAATAACATAAAACACTGTCTAAAGCAAAAGCGCTGCTAAAGGGGTATATAAAAAAACACTGTCTATTTTAAAAGCGCTGTCTAAAGGAGATGCATAAGAAAGCCCTTTTAATGTAAAAGTGTTGTCTAAAGTGGGCATAAGACAGGTCTTTTACATTGAAAAAAAACATTGTCTTTACTTTTAGCAGCACTGCTTTAGCCAGCGCTTTTAAGTGCTGTTAAAAGCAAAAAAAAAACGTTGTCTAATGTCTTGTTTGACATAGTGAATTTGTGGTTTGTATTTTGCAAACCAAACAAAACTGCATTATGTTATAAAATCTTACTAACCAATATATATTTCTTTAATTCTTTAGAAAAATCAACATTTATTTTGTGTATAATTTATCATACTTTGTATGATATTTTTTAATTTACAAATCATAAAAAAATAAAATATTATTTATTTATAAATACTATTTTCACAAAATATATTTTATCATATTCTATATATAATATTTATTTAAGAATGCAATTTTGTCTATATTATTCTTTAAATTTAGATAAAATTATAATACGCAATTTTATGTATCAAATTATAAATTTATTTTGACAATTATTAATTGTTTTATAGTAATGTATAAACAATTAAACACAATTATATTTTTCTCTATATGTATATGTATGGTTTAACATTGAACTAACCGAATCAATCCAAACCACATTTGTTTAATTTAATTTGATTCAAATTTATTTTTAAAAATCAACTGAATCAAACCGAACCACATGTTCTTGTAGTTCGAGTAATTTTTTATTTCAAAACTACTCAAACCACACCGCGAACACTCCTATTTAAAACCCTAAAATATCAACACCCCTATTTAAAACCCTAAAATATCACTAGATGATTGCAAATCAATTTCAAGTATACAATATTTTTAAAATTTTAGTTACGATAATCACTAACTTAAGCGTGATAGTGTTTGCCGATACACACTCAACTCAACTACCGTAAAATATTGTTTGAGTTTTGACTGTAGCAAATAAAAACTGCACTAAACATAACAGACATGCACTATGTAAACAGTTCATAGCAGATGAACAAAATAATACACCGTTAAAGTATTCTATTAATAATGTTTTGGTTGTACTGAAACAAATATAAAACCAATGTCTATTTTATAGCTTGATTCTTGGGATAAGTACGTTGGCTTTTGTACTGACTATGTGAAGTCCAACGTTGTCCTTCGACCCTTTTTAGGAATGAAAGAATGTTTCTGATTAAGGAAATCTTAGTGGAGTTAGATGGAAATCATTATAATATTAGTTTTAGAACTAAAAATAAAAATATTTAGTTTTGAAACATAGAGCAAGTACGGCAGGTGTTATCTCTTAACAAGATAATATATATTAATATGGCTTTTGCATTCATTAAAAAAGCATTTCAAAATAAAAATAAAATAAAATTTTATGAATGAAATACCTTTCAACATTCATTTTAAATTCTAAATTTTTAGAGAATTATTATGAAATCAAATCTTTATTTTATCAAAAATTAATGGGTAATTATAAGATATTTCTAGTCCTAAGTGATATTTATTATAGTTTAATCGTATATAAAATCTTAACAATCGCGGTTCAGTTAATTGTTAACCGTAGATCAATATTTATTGGTCCGATAAAGAATGCATAAAAACTTTGTTCGATTAAATTGAATAAGAAAAACAATTGTATTATGCAATTAGGAAATCAGAGTTGTTACAAAATCAAATCAGGGACACTCCCTGGTATTGGAGAATTTAACTACTCATACTATTCAAAGAAAACAAAAGATAAATTGTAAACATTACAAGTATTGGGGAGAAATTTGATCTTCAATCCTTTCAGTTCATGAAAATCTCCTTCCACTGAAACTCCTGTCTTCTCCAATCTTCTCTCGTGTAATTCTTCGTTTGCCAAAAAATCTCCTAATTTCTTGTGAAAACTCATCTAAATAGTCATCATTCATTCAAATCGGTTAGAAGTATCCAAAACGCCCCCACAACTTAACATATGGGAAAACTAGAAAAGCTAGGAAATCAACGTCACAGGCCAACACGACCCGTGACACGCAACACGGATTTGAATTGTTGTTCAAATAATATTGTCAATCTCAAGAACTGTGTATAAATATGGAATTCGAATTGTTGTTCAATTAAACAAAAAAAACTAAATTGGAGTTTTGATTCACTAGAATTAAAATAATTGCAAATAAAGTAAATATATGAGGTGAACAATTTTGACAGATATGAGTAGCATGTTAGGGTAAAGTGTGTAATTTTCCCTGTAACAACCTTGAATCATGATTTTTTCAACAAGTTCATAACATTCAATTATTAGCCCTTTAGGTTATTTTCCACTAAGTCCTTAGTGAGAAAACCTTTGAACATTCATCCTAAATCCTAAGTCCTTAGAGAATTATGATGAAATCAAGTCTTTATTTTATCAAGAGTTAACCGATAACTATAGGGTATCCCTAGTCCTAGGTAATATCTACTATAGTCTAATCATACAAAAAACCTTAACAACCGCGGTCCAGTTAATTGTTAACCGTAGATCAATCCTTGTTGGCCCGACAAAGAAAACATATAAACCTTGTACAATTAAATTGAATAAGAAAACCAATTGTATTATGCAATTAGGAATTCAGAGTCGTTACAAAATCAAATCAGAGACACCCCTTAGCATTAGAGAATTTAGCTACTTATACTATACAAATCTGAGTATCAACCAAGATTTGAACTCTAGTGATGACGTCTAATCTAACAATATTGGTTTTTGCTATTCGAGATAAGATTTACGGACAAAAGTATATTAGTTTTAATAGAATAATCTTATGGATTTTAAAAATGCTTCATTGAAATTAATATGCTAACCAAATCTCTCTCTCTGTCATTGAAATTAAACAGGTTTTTTGTAGCTACTAGTGCTATTGCTAGTGGTTACCTGATTCTTTCTCTACCTTTGTCCATCTTGCATATCATAAGGAGCAGTGCAAGAATGACCAGGGTTATATTGATTATATTGGACATGGTATGTACACAAACACTAGACACAATACTTATACGTCATCATCAATAATAATTTGAAAAAATAAATAAAATGAACGCATTTTTTTACGTTGGACTCAGACATATGTTAAACACTAAGTACACTTTTCATCAAAGACATCGGTGCTATAGACAAATGAGTAAAATACTATAAATTACTACATAGTTAAAGTTGTGCTCATGATTAATTGACTCTATACTACATATATGCAGATAATGCTAGCTTCATTGACAGCTGGATCTTCTGCAGCAGCATCTATTGTTTATTTGGCACACAAAGGAAATGCCAGAGCAAATTGGTTTGCTTTCTGTCAGCAATATAACTCTTTCTGTGAAAGAATTTCTGGTTCAATGATTGGATCCTTCATTGCAATTCCTCTCTTCATAATCCTAATCCTTTTGTCTGCTCTTGTTCTATCAAGACGTTAGACCAATCTAATTACATGCAATGCATGCTTATTTGTAATCATTGAAAAAAATGTGAGTGTGTGTGAAAGAGATATCTAATGTATCATGTTTATGTTTATCTATCAGTTTGATATTCAGTGTTTGCATTACTGTAATTTTCTGCAAAATTGTCACATTATAGTTACCACTACAACCATAATTTAAAAAACATGGTTGCAACATCAACTAATGTTAGGGCCGTCTTTGGGAACGTGCAAAGCAGACCACCGCACATGGCCGAAAATTTAACACGTTTAAATTGTATCCAAAAAGGATCTCATAAAATATAAGTCACAGTCAAACCATGACAAATAGGGTCTCTATTTTATTTGCCACATTTAAACCGTAATTAACCTACACAAGACCTCCCTTGACCAATGTTCATGCTTCAACAAAGCTAGAGCCACGGCTTTTTGTCACACCACTATCTTCCATTAACTTTCTTACCTTCTCAGCCCCATCCCACTCACCTCTTGAAGCATATATGCTTGACATCAATACATAGTCACCACTCTGGTCCTTTCTCATTCTAAGAAGTTTCTCATTAGCCACTTTTGCCAACTCCACATCTCCATGAACCTTACAAGCTCCAAGCAGAGTCCTCCAAACTATTGCATTAGGTTCAATTTTCATGGAATCGATGAATTTAACTGCTTCCTTTAAAAGTCCAGCGCGTCCTAGCATGTCTACCATACTCCCGTAGTGACTAATGTTCGGCTCAATGTTGTATTCACTTCTCATGAGATCAAAATATTTATAGCCCTCGTCAACTTTACCCGCATGACTACAACCTGCCAAAACACAACCAAAAGTTATATCATTTGGAAAAATCTTAGTCCTCAACATCTCCTTGAACAAGCCAAGCGATTCCTCGGCACGTCCATGAAAAGCCAAACCAACAATGACTGAGTTCCACGAGATCACATCTTTATCTCTTATTGACCAAAACACACGAAGTGCTTCTTCGATGTTTCCACATTTAGCATACATATCAACAATTGCGTTCCCAAATAATGTGCTCAACTTTCCGTTACTAATCTTCATAACCTTTTCATGTACTTTTTTACTAATTTCCAAATCCCCCAAATCAGCACAAGCTGACAACAAACTCAACAATGTCACCTCATCTGGACAAACCCCGGCTCTACTCATCTCATCAAACAACTCCAATGCCTGTTGATTCAAGTTGCAAACCACATAACCCGCAATCACCGTGTTCCAACTAACAACATCTCTAACCGGAGCCTCATCAAAAAGCAACCTCGCTTTCTCCATCTCCCTTTGCTTAGCATACCCAGTAATCATCACATTCCACGACACCAAGTCTCTGTCGGGCATTTCATCAAACAGTTTTCGCGCATAATTCAAATCTCCACGTTTCGCATAACCAGCAATGAGGGAAGTCCAAGCAACCACATCGCCCTTACAAGAATCATCAAAAAGTGAAGTTGCTACCTTCAAGTCACCACATTTAGCATGAAAAACCAAAAGGGCATTCCTCACAAAAGCATTTGAACCAAACCCAAATCTCAAAACCCTGCCATGAACCGCTGAAGCGGTATTGACCCAATAAAGCTTTGTACACGCTTTGAGAACAAAAGGGAAAGTGTAGTTATCAGGCTTAACAAAACAGCGGTGCATTTGAGAATACAATGAGATAGCTCGTAGAGGATCAGGGCTCTGAGAGGAACCACGAATCATGGCGTTCCACATGAATGTGTCTGGTTCAGGAATTTGAGCAAAAAGTTGGTGTGCATAGTTTCTGACGGTTGGAGTTGCAATGGGACCTACAAGTGAGGTGGCAATGGTTGATACGAGGTTTCTGAGGAAGACAACGTTGGAGGAAGTGTCGAAACCGATGATGATTGTCAAAGCGTGGATTTGTTCGAGGGTGTCGAGGTTGGGAACTGTGGTGGCTGTGCCTATTCTTTTTCTGATCATGTTGTCAATCTTGTTCGTTTTTATTTCTACCATGTACTAGAACATAAATAGATGAAAGGGTTGAAGATGATCATTGTAATGAGGCCTCCTGTATGTTGGTTATGGTTCTCTAGTGATCAGATGGGGATACCTACAAAAGGTTGTCACTACAATATTAAGTCAATGTTTGAATGACAAGAAATTTTGGGTGTGAAACATGGTCACATTTATATATAGAGGACAGTTGAAATCATTCTTAGTTCATCCAACATGGAGTGTGGGTGACCGTTAGATATGGATCATTGATCAAGATGAAAAGGGAGGTCGAACTCCTATGTGATGTCTAGGAATGAAGGCCAACATGTATGTCTATGAATGGAGTGCTCTTATTGGAATGAGCCTATGAAAATGGTCGATTTTAATGGACATTTGATCAACCTGAAATAGCCGGCTTTAAGTCTTTGCTATCAACTTTGAAGTGAGGAGTGTTGATGTGGAAATTAGTGAGACCAGTTTATGAATAAGCATTAATGATGGAGATTGTCAGTTGAGAATGTCTCCTTAGAAGAAAGAGTTATGTAATGGCTTTGAGTGGGAGCAGGTGCATGGGGAACATGCACATTTAATGCACCTTGTGCAGATAGAACTTTATTACGGTGGAGGCTTCCGCATGCACCCATATACGTAGAGTAGAGTAGAAAGGTGATACACATTGGTCCACTCGAGCGCACCAAATTACTGCAAATTTGAGAGTTAATATGAGCCATATAATGTGATCCTTAATCTTCTAATGAATTATGGTCGTCAAACTTGGCGCCCTTCATTCCTATAAAGCAGTAACTCGAGGTTTATTTTCACTTTCAGAATTCTTTTTCGTTTCTTGAATGATATCATTGAAGGTGTGAAGAAAACACAAGAAATTGGGGGTTTGAATTGAGTTTTTCTTTCTTGGATAACTTTCTGGTTCTAAGCATTATTCGTTGAACAATGCTTCTGAATGTTACTTCTAAGTAATGCTTCTAATTAAGTTAAGAAAACATAAACTCTAAAGCATAAACAAAAGTAAAGAACACGCGATATATCCCGGTTCACTTGAGAAATTCCCAAGCTAGTCCAGTCCACCCTTCCGAGGTGATTTCGTCTTGAACTCAAGAAATTAATCCACTATAATCAATCTGATTACAATCGCACGGGCAACCGCCGGTGACTAACATCCAATGATGCGTTCAGGGATCCAGACTGGATATGACGTTCATTGACCCAATAGAATCCGATTCACCAGAATCTCCTACCAAGATTTCCTTCCAATGATATCCATCAGTGATCTCACAAAACTGACCTTCACGCAGTCCTCTTTGAGATTTGACTACCATTGACCCAATAGATACCACTACGAGGATTTCATCTACGATGGTCGCAACCAAAGTCTTCTCAAGTCTTCTGATCTTCACTCGATCACTTGAGGAACTGACCAATTCTAAATAGAATTGTTTTTTTGGAGATTATATGAGTGCTTCTTATCAAGCAGATTACTCCTAATTTAAGTACATAGTGTTTGACACAATTCTGAGTAGAAACTCTTGTGTACAAACAATTTACATGAAGATCTTAAGCAATAACACAATTTGAGCAATAACTCTTGCATTTTACATATATTCTACAAAGATAAATATAATCTAAGTTAAGTGCAACATCTTGTAGTCTTCTTGTCTTCATCTTCATCATTGAGCAAGCTATGAGAAACAACTTCTTGTTTTCCATGATTCTATCAAGATGTATATGATTGATAATTTGAATAACATCTTGCAGAATTCTTCATCTTTATCTTCTTTCTTCGTTAAGCAAGATATGAGCATCAAATCCTTGTTTTTTCATCATTCTGCCAAGATGTATATGATTGGTGATTTGAATGACATCTTGTAGAATTCTTCTTGTTGTTGTTATAGTGGTAGATAGCTTTTTGGTTGTGTTCCAATAATGACAGCTTTTATTTTTAATATTGAACACCAACAACATTGCAACTAGATATGAGCAACATGCGACTTGCAACTAGAATCTTCCAGCATTATGTGATAAGCAGCCATCTAACCAACCAACTTAAACATACGATTATTTTCTTATATAACCAAGCAAAATAGAGTCGTTGTCTATTTGAAAAAGAGTCATTACAAATAGTACTGCTATGTCTATATCTTTTCAACACTTCAAGTTAGTGGAGAGGTAGTGAAATAAAGCTTTTTTCGTACTATGTACTATTGTACCATGTTAACGTTATATTCTTTCCTTCTGCACTTCAGAGGCCTCTGCGAGCATGATGTTATAAGTGGAAACATAACATAAGGTCTTCAGAACTTCAAGTCTTCAAAGTCTTCAAAGTTTCATCTTTAGAGTCTTCAGCACTTGGTCGTGAGAACCCACTGTAGCGAACATTGGATCAGAAGAGCTTCAAGTCTTCAGAGTCTTAAGAGCTGCACCTTTAGAGTTTTCAGCACTTGGTCTTGAGAACCCGTTGTAGATAACCTTGGATATTTAGAACTTCAAGTCTTTGGAATCTTCAGACCTCCTGTCTTTAGAATCTTTAGCACTTGGGTCTTTAAGAATCCTTGTCTTTAGAACCTTGTTATTAGAAACATAAAGTCTTCAGCATCTAGACTTCAGTTAAGAACATTGTCTTAAGATCTTTTAACTTTGTCTTCTTTGAAACAAGTTATCTTTTAGAAACTAAGTGTTTAGAATCTGGACTTCAGTAGAAACTTTATCTTCAGATCTTCTAACTTTGTTTCTTTGGAACACACCGTCTTTTAGAAATTCTAGTCTTCAACATTTGGGCATAAATAACAATTTCTGTCTTCAGATCTTCTGACAGTTTCCTTAGAACATGTTGTCTTTAGAAGCTTGAGTCTTCAACATCTGGACGTAAGTAGCAACTTCTATCTTCAGATCTTCTGATTAGTTTCTTTAGACAAATATCAGGGCTTACACTTCAGAGTCTTCTGGAGTGTCTTGCTACTGTTCAATAGAACTTGTGTAATGCAGAAGCGGAACTAATTCTCTTCTAGTGT